GTGTCTCCTGTAATGTCACAATGGTCACTGCTTTCGCTTTATTTTGTAGTGTCGTTATCGGTTGTCGCATAATAACTATTCTACGTAAATTGATATTCAAGTTAATTGTTACTTTTCCCTTGCTGTGTATACCCACATAATTTTGAAACAATGTGTAAGTATCTACACATATACAAAAACCATCGATAATGGTCAACATCGATGTTTTGAGTAGCCTAAACATCGAACATCGATGTTGAGCTGTCGATGCCAACATCGATGTCATCATCGATGTTATTATCCCTATCTTAAAACTGAAGCCTGAGCCGTGGTAGCTCAGATGGTTAGCGCTCGCTGTAAGCTTCACAGTACTCGAGCAACCCGGGTTCGACCCCCGCCGGCACCAATGAAATTGTTAATTGCAATTTTAAGTGCTGATTTACCACGTGCTCGGCGGTGAAGGAAAACATCGTGAGGAAACCTGCATGTTCGCCAACACGTATTGGGTCAGCGCGGTGTACATTTCCTTGCCCTAAAACCCTCTCAGAAATGAGAGGAGGCCTGTGCCCAGCAGTGGGCCGTAAATAGGCTGCAACTTTACTTTACTTTACTTAAAACTGAACGGAAAGTTATTTGGTATTAGAGGGATTCTGGGTATAAAACAATATCACTATCACGACATTTATTGCAATTTTGCTACTTTTAGTAGAGTTTTGTAATTTTGTTGAATAATTGAAAATTTCAATATCTCTTTTTACTGGTTTTTGTTATGAGTTGTTAGTCTACACGACTTACAGGCAGGTATAGATTACTGTATATATATACCTTACAGGCTTGAAACTTCGTCTCATGAACATTAATTATTTCAGTGAGTCTCAATACGATTCACCTGCGAAAAATCTTAACACCGCAATTCAGAAAAGGTTGTAATTTGTACAACGCCATCTATTACGTTCTTTGTGAGAAAACATCCTTTTTTAATGGGGGCTAATAATTTTCCGCTCACCAGATGTCGCTAGATGACACTGAGGTAAAGTTTTTTGTTACACAATGTAATTTAATTGAGAAGTTGTTTTTTAATAAATGTTTATCAGTTTCTAGATTATTATATTAATACACAAATAATGCGTCAGTGGTTTCCTTTTTAAAATTTTTGTACATTTTTAACTTTTTTTTAATTTTTCTACTTTTATGAATATCTGTAATTTGGTATATTTATTTTGAATGTTATTAATATAAAATATATCCAATAGTACAAAAAGAAACAATAAGTCTTACATTTTCCAAATAAATTAACTTCACCGCTATGAAATCTGTCAAATGTTATACCTCCCTTTCCAGTGGCGCCGCCCTGGTGGCAGAAAAAGTCGTGGATGCCCTCATTTAAGGAAAACATGTATTTACTGTGTTTTAAGTACTATAATAGAACGATATGAAATATATTATAATAGAACGTTTTTTTTTACACACGAATCTTTTTATTACTATTTCTGAGATTTTGTGGCGCCATTAAACAAATTCGAACCTACATTTCAAAATAATAATCATAACTTTCGATAGAATTAACCAATTTCAATAAAACAAAGATTAAATGAACTTGATATCACATTTGTGCCACACCACCATCTATCGATGAAATTGGTTAACTATTGTACTTTAATTTAGTTTAGATAATAAGGTTAATATATTTTGTATATATTTATTACGTTCTTTATGTAATATTTTTGTTTACTGCGTTTTAGATATAATTATATCATTATAGAACATTATTTTACATCATTTAATTATGATTTATAATATGATATTAATTTTAAAATGTACTTGATGACTCATCCAACGCCACTATTGAACAAATTCGTACCTATACTTAGTACCCATACTTCAGAATATTTGTCATAACTTTTGATGGAATTAACCAATTTTAATGAAATAAAGACTAAATGTAACCTGAATATACACTTAATAATTTCCTTAACTATTCTTATGATATAAATTAGTACTTTATACGTGATACGTTAACAAACAAACAGACAGACAGACAGACAGACAGACAGACAGAAAAATCTAAAAATGGTAGAAATATATTTGATTACTTATTTTTAGTACCTCTCAATCAATTTTATTACAAAAATATAAAATGTACAGACATCTGCTATTTACATTTTTATTATATGTATAGATAAAAAAAAGAAACAAAAACACCATGTCTGTTTGACAGTAAAATAAAGTTTTATTAGATACCTAATCACACTAGAAATAACATAATAACAGTGAGCAAGGATTAATTTTAAACGTGTAATATGTACACACAATTATAACTTCATAAGCTTAGATTTGAGGCTATTAAAAGAAATTTCAAACAAAACAATAATACAATCACAACGTCAGTGTTTTCATGTTTGCAACATATTAAAACAAAATTTCACTATTTTAACTATTCAATACAAAGCATTCTTAGAAGACGTCATTTTCGATTCTAAGGCTAGAGTTAATTGTTATACTATATTAGTAATTTTTGTACACAGGAAAGGCAGATTTTTTTCTACATGCATAAAAAGCTGGATAGAAATAATACAATTTCACAAATTCATAAAAAAAATCTTGAAAAGAATTAATATACAGTTATCTGAGTCTTACGAGGCGACATTGAAAGTTTTTAGAACTGGCCACTTGTAAACGATATAATAAAAAAATAAGTTAAAATTTTGAAAATGGAACTCTTTGTCAATATTATTGTGTATGTATTTTATTAATTTGTCATTTGTTAACGATTTGGCGGCAAATTGAAAATTGTCTGTGTCACGTCAGCATGAATTTAACGCGAGAAAATTTTCGTACAATGATTTTTTATGACTTTCGATGTCATTTAAGTCAACAAGAAAGTTATGATAGACTTCGATTGGCCTTTCACAATGAAGCCCCATCACAAGCCACTGTTTACAACTGGTTTAGGTAATGAGTTTAAAAGTGGTCGCCACTAATCTCACCGATGATCTGCGTGAGGGACGGCCTTCAACGACGACTCAAGATAATATCACTATCAGTGTTGTGCGGCGTATGATAGAGACTGACAAAAGAGTGACTTATCAGCAGATTCGGATAAGCTTAGGCATCGGTATGAGTCAAGTGCACAAAATCCTCTATGAACATTTAGCGGTCAGGAAGCTTTGTGCCCGGTGGATACCTCATAATTTGACAAAAACCCAAAAACTCCGTCGTGTTGATTGGTGTCGTGAAATGGTTCAAAGATTTAACGGAGGTGACTCAAATGCTGTGTTCGACATACTTACGGGTGACGAAAGCTGGATTTATTGTTATGATCCTGAAACTAAGAGACAGTCTGCTGTCTGGGTGTTTCCTTCCGAGGAGTTGCCAACTAAAGTGAAGAGAGGTCGAAGCGTGAGAAAAAAGATGGTGGCCTCGTTCTTCGGAAGGACAGATCATTACGCAACAATTGTTTTAGAGGATCGAAACACAGTTACTGCAGAGTGGTACACTAACAATTCTTTGCCACTTGCCTTGGAAAAAGTTCGGGAGAAACGACCTCGCAGTAGGATCTTCCTTCACCACAGCAACGCCTCGTCACACACCGCCAAGCAAACAATCGACTACTTGGCGATGTCAGACGTGGAATTACTGGGTCACCCGCCCTATAGCCCGATCTCGCACCTTGCGATTTTTATTTATTTATAAATTAAAAGGAAAACTTCGAGGAAAACGTTTTACAGACGCCGAGGAAGCAGTGGCTGCGTTTCAAAATGCCATCAAAGAGACCCCGAAGGAAGAGTTGGTAAAGTGCTTTTGTCAGTGGTTCCATCGGATGCAGCCAATGTATTGATGTAAATCGACACTGTTTTGAAAAGATATAAGAAAACTAATAACTTGCTAGTTTGTTCAGTTTTTGATTTTCTATGAACTTTCAGTGTCACTGGTACCCGCGTTTGATAGGTACTTAAGATTTACAACACTATGGCTAAATACTCAAACGCTACTCAATTTTAAGAAGTCCAGTCTAACTGGACACCCTTTTTACTGAAAACTTTTAGATGTAGATGTGTATGGGCCACAGCTTTCCCTTACCGTCAGATGGACTATATACTTGTTTGTCACTCTTATTTTTATAAATACTTTTAAATGTTTAAATTAATTTTTTTATTACATTACTTCATCAAAACAACACAGCCTTTTTTTTCGAAGTAATTATACTATGTATAATTTAAAATTAAACATTTTGTACAACCGACTTCAATATAAATTATTAAGAATAACTCAAAAACTATTGGTCAGACCTTAATCAAATTTATATGGGACCACATGTAAAGCACTAGCTTTCAAATAAAAAAAAATCATCGAAAGCAATTCACCCAGTAAAAAGTTATGAGGTAACACACATAAAAAAAAACATACAGTCGAATTGAGTAATGTTAATAATATAATTAACTAAGTATTTCATATTAGTTATTTCAATGGAATTTAAACAATACCCAAGATTTAAACAACACACAAATTACTGACTTTTAGGTATTGAAATTATAATAAGGTTGAGACCTAAGACAAATTGCATTTCTCAAACATTATCACACAAGTGTTGGATTATAAATGATAACGGTGTCTTAACATTTTATCTCGTATTATATACATAGTGCCCTACTAGTAATACTGTATTTGTGAACCGGAAATGTAATTTCCACATTTCCGGTTAACAAATACTAATACTACCCATAGGGTTGTATACATTGCTGTTAATATACTAGGAAGTTATTTTATGTTTACTTTGTAGACAAAAACAAACTCAGGGAAAAATTCTAACCTTCACGCTTAAAGCAAACGCAAATTTAGCAGTACTTAAATCTTTGCATAGTTATATTTGATTTTTTTCATAGAAAGCATTGAGTCGCTAGGGCTAATGATGACTAGCTCTATTTAAGTAAGGTGCTAAAAGTAACCAATGCCTTGTTCCTTGGTGGGAATCAAAATTAAATAATGATGTATACTTTCATTTTTTTTACACGTATTAATAATTATCTAACTAAAACTAATTTTTTAGCCGTTTTAGAACCGACTAATCGTATATAATCCATAAGCTCTTCAGTCTGCCCTCTGCTTAATGATACCTTTTTCTTATATAACTTGTAAGGTACTACTGATCCCTTAAAAAGAATAGGTATATAGTTGATATCACCAGGTTTCGGATAATTCTCATCAACACTATCAATATCAGGATCTAATCTTGAATATGGTGTAACATTCAACTTGGGAAGGCAGTCCTTTATCGGAAACCACTTGTAAGTCTCAGGGCATAACAAATCTGATGGATGAAAGTTTCCTTTGTATCTCATTTTTTGGCATGAATGTATATAAAATCCTAAATAGTAATACTTGAGTTCGGGACATAGAGAATGCAAATGTCTCGTAAAGGCAATTTCCCTAAAAATACAAAGTCATTAATGCGGTAATTTAAAAAGAACAGTAATAAACAAAAGCAATTAATATTACCTGAGCGCACCATATGTGCCCAAAGTTAAATTCATATAATCAGGATCGTAAAAGAAATACACTGATGATACACACTTCGGTAATATGTCAATGACCCCAACAGCTATTATTTTACCATCAAGCAAATATTGTTGATGAAATGAGCCATAACCAGAGGGAGGGCCAACTTCACTATACTCCTCCTAAAAACCATTTAGAATTGTACACAACAACTTTATCATCAGTGAATGGCAAATACCCAACATGATAAAATTAGTTTTAAAAACACATAATATGTTTATTATTGATAGGCGATTGTTACTGGGAAACAACATAAATCGACCAATAATTAATTCATCTACATTGAAAAAAAATTAATGAATTTAACAATACAATAAAATATGGCAGATGCACAACTAAGCAGAAGACTGACCTTAGACTTTAGAGGTGCAGAGAACCAACAAAACATTATTTTTGCTATTCAATTTTCTTAGAACGAATGGAATAAAAAATTAGTTACCTATACTGCTGTTAGTAACAATCGCTCATTCAAAAATGTCAAAAAATGTGTATCAAAAATTACCAATAATGGGCTTTGAACCAAAAAGTCCCTAAACTTTGGTTCTGTACACTTTTCTGGTGTGTCACCATGGATTTTCATCTGATACTTTACATACACTTCATGTGTCTCCTTAGCTGTTGCTAACCACTCTGCACTTGGAGGAGTTGTTCTCACCAATTTAACCTGCGAAAATTGAAATACATTAAGAAGGAATTGGTGCATGAGTACTGAAAACTATTCCACCTCAATTTTTTTAAGAGATTCTCTTCAAATTGATCTTCTCTACATGTTGATGGTATAAATGTATGTTGCCATGGAACATTTTTTTTTCAATTGCAAGGAATTGTAATTTTCAAAGGGGACAATTTTTTATACATTACTTACATACATATAATCACGCCTCTTTCCCGTAGGGGTAGGCAGAGACCAGTTCTTTCCACTTGCTGCGATCCTTACATACTGGTTTTGTATCGTCCACTTTCATTATTCCCTTCATACATGCTCTACGGTTTAGGGTACTCTTGACCTGGCCTTTTTTCAAGACGTCCCTGATTTGGTCTAGAAATGTCTGCCTAGGTCTACCCCTTCCAACACTTTCATTCACACTCGCCTTATACACTTTTTTCGTCAATCGTTCTTCATTCATTCTCTCGACATGGCCAAACCATCTCAGCACACCTTTCTCAATTTTTGTCACTACATCTTCTTTCAGACCACAACGTTTCCTTATCTCACTATTTATTAGCCTGTCACTCAGTTTAACTCCTATCATACTTCTTAATGCTCTCATCTCAACTGCATTTATTCTGCTTTCATGTTTCTTCTGCCATACCCAAGTTTCACTTCCGTACATGAGTGTCGGAATCAACACCCCCTCATGCACAGCCAAACGAGCCTTGTTAGACACCTTCTGACTGCTCATAAAGGAGTGCAAAGCTCCATTCACCATGTTTCCTGCATTCACTCTTCTTTCGATATCACTCTCACACTTTCCATCTCTTGTAAACTTTGAACCCAGATACACAAACTCTTTCACCTGTTCAATTTGTTCATCTTCAATCACAATGTTGCAATACATTACTTCATATATTTTTAATGAGTCAAAAGTATCCGAATTCAAGATATTTCAAATCTTTAAAAATTCATAACTCCGAAAATATGAACATTATCGTAAAAAGTCATAGGACCTTTTTTATTTCTATTTCATTTAACAAAATGAATACCTCAAGTTTGTGTTTAACATTGTCTGGTAACTCATTTATCAAATCTTCAAGTTGTTTTTCCTTGTTTTTGCTTGTATTTGTGAGCATAGTTATGTCAATACCCTTGTCTTTAAGTTTTTCTAATCTTCTCTCACGCCTCAAAACCTTCGCTTTTCTGCAAGGTGATTTTGTGGGGTCTATACCAGCATCTGTACAATATTAACCATATTTAGTTTATGCCTAACTATATGAATGTAGTAAGATATATGAATGTAATACCTTTTCTTACAGAAGAAACATTTGACGAACCAGGTATTAAATCACTTGTAGGACTTCTAAATGACTCATCACCTGTTAATTTAGTAAAATAATTAACAAAGTATAATTAATATTTCCCTTGAAGTAAAGCAAGTAAATAAATAATTTTTAAACAAAATACACATCATAGATTCACTAAAAACATTTCAATGAAGGTCATTGCTCAATAAAAAATACTTTAGTAAACAGCTTCAAATTGAATATACATTACTTCTACTAAAGTAAAACATTATGAGATGGTATACTATTATTGTTGATGCTTGGTATGCAGGTGTTCAATTCTGGCTATATATCTTGAATTTGGCAAGTGTAATAACTATTTAACAAGCTGGGTCTACTCTTTCTCCAGGTTAAAAGTAAAAATAACAAATATTTTTAATTAATCATTAACATAGCTGCCAAGATTGGTGGTTATAGCAAAGCCCCTACTTTTGGTAGAAGACACATTCTACAATCAATTTTTATAGACTGATGGATAAAAGGAATTTTGGTTGTGATAAGGCTTTGCATGTATATATTTTGTATTAGTGGAATATGCTAACTTCTTCTACAATGTCAATTTACTTATTTATTTAATTACTCACCTGGATGGGCTGCATCATTTCCCTTTTTAATATTAGATAACTCTACAGAGTTGATATTAACAATGTCTTTTATATTTATAACTTTTGGATCTCTCTTGGTTTCCATAAATTGTTCAACTCCCTCTTCTAAATTCTCCACTATGTGTTCATCAGTTTGACTTGTCGACATTTTTGGATTTCCCTCACTCACTGATTGTTGTGCATCACCTGCCAAATACTTATTTACTCTCTTCAATATTTTTTTCTGTGATTTAGTTGCTTTAAATTCCAGTGCTTTACATCTATAAAATAAATAAATATCACAGGACATTAATCAAGTCTCTACCTAGGCTATTACATTATGAAAGCTAACCAATGATACATTTTACATATACATATTACTAAAATTAATTACATAGGCAAACATAAGCATCCTATATCAAATATAACATTATTATTATTGCCACCAAATGGCAATGCTTGCACTGCTATGTTCCAGTCTAAAGGATATAGAGTGCTTATTGCCCTATAGCCCGAGAGTTATTACAGGCTTGTAAGGCATTCTATCTTTGCCCACGCAGATGACGATACATTTGTAGTTTCTTTGTTTGAAGTAGACTATAGGTATCCGTGAACTGCAGTAGCCTTTTGTCACTAGTGGAAAGGTATAGTTTAAGTGATTTTTATGATAGAAATATTATTTATTCAATGTATTCATTCCATTAAAAATATAAATTGGCTCTATGAGCTAAAAGATATTTGCCTTACATAGTGTTTTTTTTTTTTATAGGAGAGGGGGCAAACGAGCATGCGGTTCACCTGATGGTAAGTGACTACCGCCGCCCATGAACAACCGCAACACCAGGGGAATTGCAGATGCGTTGCCGGCCTTTTAAAAAGGAGTAGGCTCTTTTCTTGAAGGTCCCTAAGTCGTATCGGTCCGGAAAAATCGCTGGTGGTAAACTATTCCACAAGGAAGTTGTGCGAGGAAGAAAACATCTTCTAAATCGCACAGTGGTGGACCGCCAATCATCCAGATGGTGTGGATGGTATCGGGAGTTCTGCCGCGATGTGCGTTCGTGAAATTTGGCGGCTGGGATTAATCCGAACAATTCCTCAGAGCACTCCCCATGGTAAATGCGAAAGAAAATGCTAAGATAAAATAGGAAATAAAAATAAAAATAAAAATAAAAATAAGTAAATCAGGAATGTCTAGAACAGGTAAATGAAATTGTATACTTGGGGAGTGCTTTTAGCCGGGATGGAAGATGTGATTTAGATGTGGACAGGCGTGTCGCTGCCGGGAACAAAGTCAATGGTGCCCTGGCTGCGTTAGTCAAAAGGCAAGGCGTAGCGAAGAGTGCACGCCTTGCAATACATAACGCAGTGTTGGTACCGACTTTGTTATATGGCAGCGAAACCTGGGTATGCCAGAAGAAGCATAAAAGTAAGTTGAATGCAGTGGAGATGCGATCTCTTCGTAAAATGTGCGGCGTTACCATGGCCGACCGAAAGCGAAACGAAGAGATTCGCAATATGGCAGGTTTGAAAGATTATCACAAAAATTGATAAGGGCGTGCTTCGGTGGTTTGGGCACGTTGAGCGAATGAGTGAAGACCGAATGGTGAAGAAAATATATAGCGCGAAAGTTAATATTAAAAGGTGTCGAGGTAGACCGAGACTAACTTTCGAAGACCATGTGAGCAAATTGCTCGAAGAGGGTAGGGTCAAAAGTACTCGGATACTTAGACGTGCATGCATGAAGAAGATAATGAATCTGAAAGAAGCGAAAGAGGTATGTAAGGATCGTGACACTTGGCGATCTGTTCTCTCTGGCTACCCCGTCAGGGATTGTGCGTGAAGATAAGTAAGTAAGTAAGTAAAATGCTAAGAGATGCAACATCTCTTCGCAGTGCCAATGAGTCGAGCCGATCGGAAAGGACTCGGTCGTCGACGATTCGAGCCGCTCTGCGCTGGATGCGGTCAAGTGGAAGAAGCTGGCACTGGGGAGCCCCAGCCCAGAGATGGGAACAGTATTCCATGTGAGGCCGAACCTGCGCCTTGTAAAGTTGCAGGCGTTGAGCCGGCATGAAATACTGTCCCGCTCTGCTGAGCACGCCAAGCTTTTTAGAGGCCAATTTGGCCTTTTCTTCCAAGTGACCACGAAACTGCACGCTACTCGATATGTCGACGCCAAGGATTCCGATACTGGCTGAGGCAACAAGGGGAGTACCTTGAAACTGAGGAGATACGACAAAGGGGCTCACGCCAAGGATTCCGATACTGGCTGAGGCAACAAGGGGAGTACCTTGAAACTGAGGAGATACGACAAAGGGGCTCTTTTTAGCGGTAAACGCGCAAACTTGTGTCTTCTGAGGAGTAAACTGGACTAGATTTAGTCGCCCCCAATCCGAGACTTTGTCCAGCAAAGACTCGACTTCAGGCACAAGTTTGTTCCGGTACTCGGTGACGTTTTCCCGAGAAATATTGGCACGGCCGGTGTAGAGAGCATCACCAGTGCTGTCATCCGCATAGCAATGAATGCTACCGGCTTGCAACATATCATTGATATGCAGAAGAAACAGCGTTGGTGATAGCACGCAGCCTTGTGGAACACCAGCGTTAATAGGCTTGTAGTCGGAGCATGCACCGTCTATAACGACCTTGATGCTCCGATCTGCAAGAAAGCTGGTGATCCAATTGCATAATTTCTCGGGAAGCCCATAGGAAGGGTTAAGTTATAAAAAAGGCATAGACTTCACTTGTCTCGTCACCTTCCTAACAATTAACTTGTAGCTGAAAAATGTGTAATTTCTAATCTTTTAGCTTATTAATAATCTTAAAAAAGGTGAAGCATTTTCGCATTTATTCTAAAAATAAATAGTCACAAAATGTCATAGCGCGTTTGATTTTCATCGGTCTACACACTCACCCGTTCCTGAACTTCCATTGCCAGCTTATACGCCATACCAATCTTAATAGGTTATGGGCCCAGTGAGTATATAATATAGAATACATTATTCAAGAAGAATACAATCGGAACAAAGGGCAGAGGAAGAGTGTGCGAAAAATCACGCTATTAACAAAATGCCGACGTCATCGTCATCTGGTGCTGAGCAGCCGGCCCCTCAACCGGGCAAGGGCGCCAGGCCTATATCAATTGAGAAATTACGTGGTTCATCAAACTGTGTCTTGGAAATTCTCGATGTGCATGCTATTGACTTTAGAAAATATTTGGAGCTGTGTGGAATTAACGGGTCAACCAGCTACTACAGACACTCAATGTGACCAGAGAGCATTAGCAAGGATTTGTCTTAGTGTGGAGCCTGCCTTGTACCAGTATGTTAGCCAAGGTATTTGAGGATCGTGGACTATTGTGCCTATTCAGTGTTACAGACTGACTTTATAGTTGACAGTGGGTGTAGCAGTCATATGATAAATAATAAGAATATGTTTCAAAACTTTAATAATAAGAAAAGTCATGTTTGTATTGCTAATAATACGTATTTGGATAGTGAGGGATCAGGATGAAGAACACGAGCTCTCTGGGTGCGTGGCTTGTTTGAAGGGCAAGCAAGTCTCAAAAGCTTATCCCTCTGGTGAAGCCAAGGGGGCCACTAGTCGATTAGAGCTCATTCACTCTGACATCTGTGGACCGATGCCGGTTAAAAGTTGGGGCGGTGCAAAGCTGCTGACCTTGACAGATGACTACAGTAGGAAGAGTTGGGTGTATCTGCTACAAGAGAAAAATGAGGTGTGGACTCGGAGTACTGTACTGGAGACGAGGGAGCAAAGACCGCTGCTAGTCCAAATCATGCAGACTTGGACTGCAGTTCGTCAGAGCATGACCTGTCGTCACGTGAAGGGGAAGCAATGTCTAGTGCCGGCCTTCAGGATCCTGGTTCGGTAACTGATGCTGTGCGCCCTGTACGTAGTACTCGTGGAAAGCCTCCACTCAGGTATGGAGATTATGATCTTTCTTGGGATCTCTCTGCTGGTTCTCAACGAGATCGAGCCTCTCTCTTATAAAGAGGCTATGTCGTCGCCGGACAAAGAAGAATGGCGACGTGCAATGGCGAAGGAGTATAATGCTTTCCTTAAAAATGCTGTCTGGAAACTCGTAGATCGACCACAGAATAAAAATGTAATAAAAAGTAAGTGGGTCTACAAAGTCCACAACTTGCACACTCGCCCGTTCCCGAACTTCCATTGCCAGCTTGTACGCCATACCAATCTTAATATTTTATAATTACTAAAAGAGTATTATGGCGGGTGGGGGCTGCTGTCCCTCTGGGCCTATGACTTAACAGAAAAACTAGGGGTTGGGCAGACAAGACTACGTGGAGTTGGGGCGTGCAATTTTGGTTTTAGAACAGATTCGACCTATCTTATCTATAAAGTACCCTAAACTCTGCTATGATAGTGTATAAGGAAACAATGTAGTTTTGGTTTTATTTAATACTAGCTGTTCCCTGGGACTTTGTCCACGTGTTATTGGGGGTTTTAATTTTTTTGCGTGGAACCCTAATTCTTTTTCAAAAATAAAAGTAGCCTAAGTACTCCTGGTGACATCAGCTATCTGCCAGTGAAAACCCCGTCAAAATCGGTCCAGCCGTTTCGGAGATTAGCCGAAACAAACAGACAGACAGACGGAGAAAAACTTTAAAAATTGTATTTTTTATTATTAGTACCGTATATACTTTCATATGCATTTAGTAAAAAGCTGTAAGTTTGACATTACAAACAGTCACTTCAATTTTCTTTATTTGTATAGATATTGTATATACATGCTTCATTGCTCGCATAATTTCTTTAAATGGATCCTTTTTATTTTTTTCATTATATGCAATTTTTAGAGAAAATTATTTTTATCCTAATGAATTCAAAATTCATTTCAGAAATCCAAAAACAGTGTATAAGGTTCAACCTTAACCCTGACAAACGTAAATGGAAAACATAATTAAAATCAAGTACCAGACGTTTATAGCCAACCCATATCATATTATAACAGAACTAGTTAGGAAGCTGGTCAGCAATTTTGGTATATTATGTGGTTCATTGTTAATGATAATATTACAATTGTTAGTACCTAACATTTTCATCCATAAGTACAGAAAAAGGTTAAAGGCAACATATTAATTTGAAATTATAATTATCTTATCTGCAATTGTTATATAATAATAAAGATACTGTAAAAAAATCCAGAATGTGGCATTATTTATAATAATATTTAAAAACATTTATTTAATTTTATAACGTACCTTTGCGCTAACACCAGTCCATAGATGCTAAGTAGGTTTTTTATAAGGTCACAGTAATTGACACTGAACTAATAAAAATAATATTTATTATTCATAAATGCTCAGATACTTCTAATAATTGACTTTATAATTTTTAAAGGTTATTAAGTTCATGAAATTTTATTGGAAATATCCATATTACAATAAGTATTGAGAACTCTTTTTTATGCTCATATATTAATATACTCAACTCAATGGTATAAAGATTACTCCTCATCACATAAATATGGCCATCACTAAGGCAAAGAAACCTTTCGATCATGATCAGGTTAACTATAAATCGACTCTCAATACATGAAAAGATATTCAATTACATTTAATTTGACAATTAACTCTATAATGTCATGTGCTTAAAAATAAACTGCTAGTATAAATTTTAACTTTATCTGCAAATAATATAAGAAACAAACCTTATTGTGTATGAAGGACAACAAGTAACATCCAATGTTGGCTTATAGCAATATTTTCCTGACCGTCTCCAACCTCGGTCTATTAGGTCTTGGTAATCACTTACAGTCATTGTGTGTGCCCACAGACCTAGAATAAAATTAATTGTGAATGAAATACTTTTCTAAATGCGTTGGGACACTAAAATCATTCGTTAAAATGCAAAAGAAAATTTAAGTCGTACCATGGCTGTAACTCGTATCAGATTTCTTACAATAACCACACTTATATCGTTCGTGCTCTGCATAATACTCAACGATGCTACAAGACATCATTATGATTTACACTTTTAAATAAATAAAATAGATTTTTAAATAGCGCCTTCGGTTGTATTATCATGTAAGTACTTAGCGTAAATTCAACAAAATTCTGCCCATTGTTTGACAATGACAATATTGACTTTGTTGTTGTTGTTGTTTTTATTATTCGCTCGCGAGAGCATTTAAAGGAATTAAGCCATACATCCTTTTGAATATATAGAATTTTAAAGTATAAAGGCAGGAACCAAGTCTTATTTTTCTTCTTCCCATCTCTTCAAAATCCATAAAGGCCGAAGCCAAGTCTTATTTTCTTTAATTCTTCATATTTTCTAAAAGCGTAAAGGCTAAAGCCAAATCTTTTTTATATTATAATCTTTGTAAGTTTCTATCCATGTAGATCAGATATTAGAATATACTTCGTATAGAACAAGATTGTGCACTCTAAAGAAGTGGCAAACGTAAAATGTATTCTATGCTATTGAAGTAAAGTCTACTTTCATATAATATTAGACTCAATGGAAAAACGAGCTGAGCGAGATGCCTCTATTAAGGAATGCGTCCTTGTCTATCGAGTTGCAACAGTGAAATATTTTTTTCACGTAGTAGAAGTTAACGATATTTTTTATTTATGTTCTTGTAATAATTCTAAATAATTATTAAATAAAATTAAAGAAGAGAAAATATTTATACTTATGCGTAATTTCCAACCGTGTTTTACTACCTGCTTTGTTTCAAAGTCGTAGTTTTGGCAATTTTTACAAACAAAAACTAAGCAACACTAAGTATCTTACAATCTTCAATATGGCGTATACTTTGTGTGAAGTGTGAACCGATCGAGTAGTAAATTGTGTTTGCCCAGTAACTACTTTAAAGTTTCATGTTTTATCGTGTCCAAATAATTAAAAATGGTTCTCATTTGTTGCGTGAAAGGATGCAAAAGTGAATCATACAAAGGAAGTGGTGTATCTTTTCACAGGTATATAATTTTGTAATGCTTGAAGTAGGGTGTCTATATTTATTTTAGTCTTTTAGCTTTCCATATTACTAAATTGATTTATGTTATGAGTTGATGTTTTGTTTGACAGAATGCCATGTTACTTGGGAGTGTTGGTGCGCACATTTATTTTTCGTATACAACACATAATGACATATTTTCAAAGCGATACCTACTATCCGTTAAACATTCAATCCGCATTTGAGGCGCTGCAACCGTAAGTTCTGCGTACGTGGACTTAGTTACAAGTACAACAACGTTAATGTTTAGTCTCATATAAGAGACCTGAACAAGTGTCCTCCCTTGTGTCGATTAATATTTTGGCTATAATCTGTAACAGATATTCTCTGTAAGCCGCATGTATTGTTGATAAATAAATTCTTAATATACTAATCTGCTTCAGGTTTCGAAAAGACGAAGAAATAAAAAAAAGGTGGCCTGCATTTTAAATTCGAAGACTTCACCACCCATCCTGCAGCAGCAAGAAAATTATTAAAAGTAAATGCTATTCCGTCTATTTTTCCCGTGGTATGTTCACCTTTAATATACTAAGTATAATAAGCAACCTTGAGAACCACATTCTAATAAAATCTGAAAAATGGTGCTGCACATTCCCGCAATTTAAGATACTAATACGACTTAATTTATTATTTTAGGGAACGGTTCTTTGCGTAATTTAAATATGACAACTAGTTGTTTTGTATATATTTAAAAATGTAGCATTGTGTGAGTGAGACAGGCAGCCCATGTTGAGATACATCCTTAAAAAGCGGCTTTTTTTTGTGTTTTGGCTACACTGGTTACTGTTCTCTCAATAGCAAATAATTAACTGTTGTTAATTATTTCTACTATCATTTGTTAATTTTTTTGTTTATTATTAAACAGTTTAATAAAATCATAATTTGTCACAAGCTAATCCATCATAAGCTCTTAAGTCAAGAAAGCGTGTTGCCATATATTTATATTCTGAAAGTTTCACACAGTTTTTATTAAAAGCTTTTACATAAATTTACTTCGCAAATATCCGCGTTATAAAATAAAATGATGTGTCTTACCTAGTATGAAGAAGCACCTCCCGCCCTCCCTCAATTGCGTGCACTATCCCCGTCACCACTAATCCCAGCACCGCTACTCCCAACACCACTACACTAGGCAAGACGTTTTACGTCAGTGGTGTGTCTTTCAGCAACATTTTCATCTTGTTGCTGTTGAATGAAGTACTCTGCTGCTGCCGTTTGTGCACATAATTTAATTACAATAAATAAACTAATAATTAATTTCGTACTCCATTACTCTTTCAGATAATACCCGAAAATAAGAAAGTGCATGTGCTGAGTTTTATAACAATCTCTCAAGAAATGCCTCCAACACCTGGAACATCATCAGAGTCACCATCTAAGAAGATAAAATTGCAACAAAGTGCAGTAACACAGAGACATCTCTAACATTCAACACGCCCAGAAAAAAGAAACTACGCCGGGAAATCAAAATCTTATCTCAAAAGTTAAAAAGACGTAATGAAACAATCAATAGTCTTAAATCATTGCTGACTAATATTAAACAAAAATGTGTTTTATTGTTCCCAATAAAATAAATATAGAAGAATCCCTTAGCATCATTTTGTCCTTTTTTCCTTGAAGCAACAAATCGTGTAGTCACCCTAATAGAGTAGGGCGCATCCCTAACAAGCGCTATCTCGCTCAGCTCGTTTGTCAGTCGTGAGTGCGCAATCTTGTTATCTTGTTACTATAATATAAAATATCTTTGATGTAGATTTCTCAATCCAATATTTTCAAAAACAGGGTTACCATATTTCATATTTCTTTTACAGTATTATGAATAAAATTTCAAAGTGCTAAATATGTCTTAGTATTCCTAAGAACATCTTGCAGGGCGCGCGGGACGCTTTCTGAGTTTTCATAAACTTGTATAAGTTTTTCAATGAGTAGCAATCTTTCTATAGCGTACGCTGGGCAGTTAAATATTATATGTTCTGCAGTCTGATCTGCTTCTGTATCGCAGAAGTTGCATGTTGCAGATGCTACTATTCTCATCCTGGAAAGATGAGCGTTCAGCCGATAGTGGCCAAATCTAAGTCTGCACATTATTGTATAAAATTTTCTGCTATGGCATCTCTCTTTGCGAGAAAACTAAAGGAATACTTAATTCTGAATTAATTGATGCATACCAACGACCTTTTCCTGCCAAAAGCATTCCATTGCATTTTCCATTCTTCTTATAACTGTTGCTTTAAAATTGAATATAAATCTGTATGTGTCAATATCAGCTGTAACCTGTAACTATACTTTTAGCTAAATGCTAAATGGTCTGCGCTTTCATTTCCTTGAACACCAATATGTGACGGAGTCCATAAAAATTTTACTTCCAAATTATTTTCTTTCAATTTCCACCACAAACTTTTGATTTCATATATGATGAAAGACGATTTAGCATCTAAAGTTCTTGCCTTCAGTGCCTTCAAGACACTCATGCTATCAGAGATCAGTAACCATTTATTAGATACATGTGGATGTTCTTCTATATATTTAAGAGCGATTAAGACAGCAAAAGACGGTTCGACAAAAAATGAGATTGACTTCATTATGACGACCAGACGACAACTGTTCAGTGATGTCTCAGTGATCGCGAGGGTGAAAACCGGCAGCGATCACCGAATAGTTAGAGGCACACTGAACCTAAACGTTAAGTTGGAGAGGTCTCGTCTAATGAAGTCAACGCTCCGTCCCCCTCGTGCTCTAATCCAAAGTCCCGAAACCTTTCAGCTCGAGTTACAAAACCGTTTTCAGTGCCTAGAAGACTGCAATGAAGTGGACGATTTGAATGACAAGCTCGTGGAAACTGTCCATGCGGTCGGAGCTAAGTTCTGCAAGACCCGCCGCAGAAGAACACAAAAACTCTCCGATCACACTCTTAATCTCATGGCTGTTAGACGGGAGATGAAGCTACATTCTTCAACAGATTTAACAGCATACAGGCAACTGAACAGACAGATCTCCAAATGCATGCGGCGGGACCTACGCAAATTCAATACAGCTCGTATTGAAGAAGCGATCGAGCGGAACCAAGGCTCCAAAGTCTTTGCCAGAGATCTTTCTGCCAGAAAGCGCCAACTGTCAAAGCTGAAGACAGAATGTGGCAGCATCGTTTCCGGGGCACCTGAGATTTTGAGTGAGATTGAGAGGTTCTATGCGCAGCTGTACACGTCATCGTTGGAGCCGCACGCAAGTGTGAGTAACGATCCAAGAGCGAGTCTTATCCGACATTATTCCGATGATATCCCGGACGTCAGTCTGAGCGAGATTAGAATGGCTCTCCAGCACCTTAAAAACGGCAAGGCCCCAGGCGAGGATGGAATTACAGCGGAGCTTCTGAAAGCGGGTGGAAAACCGGTACTTGAAGTCCTTCAGAAGCTCTTTAATTCCGTCCTCCATGGTGGCATTACACCGGAGGCGTGGAGCAGAAGTGCGGTGGTCTTGTTCTTCAAGAAAGGCGACAACGCTCTCTTGAAGAACTACAGACCGATTTCCCTTCTGAGCCGCGTCTACGTGCTGTTTTCGAGAGTCATTACGAATCGTCTCGCGCGCAGACTTGACGACTTCCAGCCTCCCGAACAAGCCGGTTTCCGAAAAGGCTTTAGCACCATAGACCACATACATACCCTTCGGCAAATTGTACAGAAGTCCGAGGAGTACAATTTGCCACTATGTCTGGCGTATGTGGACTATGAGAAAGCCTTTGATTCCGTCGAAATTTGGGCGGTGCTGCAGTCCCTTCAGCGATGCCAAGTTGACTGTCGGTATATCGAAGTGTTGAAGTGCTTGTACAGTAGGGCTACGATGGCTATCCGAGTACAGAACCAGAGTACGAAACCTATCCAATTGCAGAGAGGTGTAAGACAGGGTGACGTCATATCCCCGAAACTCTTTACCGCTGCATTGGAAGATGTTTTCAAGCTTCTGGACTGGAAAGGATACGGTATCAACATCAATGGCGAGTACAT